AAATGTGTGAGAAAACATTAAAAATCCTATAAAAGGAGCTCATAATCTTTAAAAAAGAATCTGGAGCTTCTGCGACTGAGGGACTAGTGGGTGCAAGGATGGTGTGCGCAAAATGTGAAAAGAAACTTGGGATTGTTATTACACTGGACACATGGAAAGATGGTGCAAGAAATACCACAGAAAGTGGTGGAAGAAAACTGAATGAAAATAAAGCACTGGCTTCAAAAAAGGCAAGATTCGATCCCTATGGAACAATTAAGTTCTCCACTTGCAGAATTTGTAAAAATTTTGTGCACCAGCTGGGTTCTCATTACTGCCAGGGCTGTGCCTACAAGAAAGGCATCTGTGCGATGTGTGGGAAAAGGTTTTTTTTTTTTTTTTTTGGTGGAACCGGAGATTGAACTAAGGCCCTTGTGCTTGCCAGGGAAGTGCTTTATTCCTCTAAGCCATCTCCCTGGCCCCTCTGCTTTGACTTTTCAAGGCATAATGTAGATGTTGAACTTGAAGAGTAATCTGTTTCAAGACAGGTGATTAAATTTAAATCAGAGCAGTTGATCCTCATTTTCCTTTCTTTTTGGAGACAGGGTATTGGCCGTTGTAGTTCAGGCTGGCCTCAAACCCATAATGATCCAGTGTCAGCGTCCCAAGTGATTTGAGCATTCCTCACTCGTATGCTCAAGAATTTTTTTTTTTTTTTTTGGCCTTGAGACAGCCTCACTATGTAGGTCAGGCTGGCATTAAACTCACTTTGCAGCCAAGCTGGCCTTGAACTTACAGTGATCCTCCTGCCTCAGCCTCCTTATGTTGGGATTACAGGAGTGCACCATCATGCCCAGCTCTGTCAAAAACTTCTGAACAATATAACTACCCTTCTGTTTTGCATGACTATTTTCCTTACAAGCATTTTACTGTAATGTAGTGACAAATCTAATGAAAAACATGAATTTTCTATGTACTTTTTAATATTCATGTAATTCTTATTCCCTTCATTTACTTTATTTATAGATATTGAAAGAACAAGATTATTGGTATTTTGTTCTGAACTTGGTATGTGGGCTTAGAATTCTTCCCTCATTCCCTTCTTGGAGGCACAGTTCTTTGAGCCAGCAGTCCCTTAATTAATTTCAGTTTCCTTAGATGTAATGATTGAGGACATCATTGCTGAATGGTCCCTTATCAAAGACAAGTTAAGAGATTTGTAATTCATTATAATTTTGCTTTTGAAGCCTAAGTGCTGGCTCCTTTCCTTCATATTAAATAAGAACATGTGTCCAGATAAATATACCAGACTTCAGAAAACATGTATTTGAATTTAGATTGTCATAAAAGCTGTGATCACACTGTTCATCCACACTCATGTGTCATGAAAATGAATCCCCAGTCTCTGGGAAAGCTCTTTGAAATAAGAGAACTTAGGGGCCGGGGAGATGGCTCAGTGGAATAAGCGCTTCCTGGCAAGCTCAAGGGTCTGAGTTCAATACCTGGTTCCGCAAAAAAAAAAAAAAAGAAATAGAGAATTTTTTTTAACCTCTTTCCCCATCCCTCAAAGAAATAAATAGAACAAAGCCAATATCTTGATTTGTTAAAAAAAAATATAATATAGTTTGTGAAGAGACTACTCTGAGGTTTCAAATGAAGATTTTTCTTGTATTACCTTCATAGGTTCAGGACTTCTAAAACTTGTAACCTACTGTAGAAAACCAAAAAGTTATTCTCTTATTTCCCTGTCATATGCATAAATATGTGATACTGTAAGATATGCAGACTACTAGAGAAAATGTGGTAATGCATGTGCTAGAGACTTTACATTTTTATTCTTACAATGGCTGCAAAAAGTAAAATTTTAGCTTCAATTAAAAAAAAAAAATCTGTGCTATGAAAATAAAGGAGACGAGCTATTCCAAATGGAAGGCAACTAGCTATACCACCTGAATCTATATTCGTTGTTATTTAAAGCAAAATTGTATGTTTATGTTATATAATGTTCTTTATTATTAGAACAATTGGCCAAACTGGAATTGGGTCTGAGGCTTAATTCTTACTTCCTGATTTTGACTATGTATAAGAATTCATTTGTTTACAGAAAATATACATTAAGGGGGTGTCTGTCAGGGGATTACACAGATAATTTATAGTGGTGGTTAGCCTATGGCACGTGTGCCACAGCAGGCATGCAGAGCCCTGTTGGCACAAGAGCCAGCTTGCCCCAGCAGTCAAGCACTGGATGACAGCTGTTTTTTTCTAAACTAAAGCCTCAAGGGCCAGCAAGATAGCTCAGTGGATGAAGTGCCTGCTTAGGCAAGTGCAGGGACCAGGGTTCAATCCCCAGTACCACATGATGCACTGGCCCTGCCCCCGGGTGCACACCTATAATCCCAGTGCTAGGGAGGCTGAAAACAGGAAGATCTCTATGAGTCCAAGCTGCTAGATGGACCCTGTACCAAATACATTAAAAAAAAAAAAAAAAAAGAAAAAAAAATTAAACTAAAGCCTCAGTATTCAGATATAATCCTAGTGTTGGTACTTTGTGAAAAATGAGCTTTGAGTTGCAGTTTGGCCATTCAATCTCTAAAAGATTCACCATCACTGTTCTAAAGGGTTTTTAAAAAAAGTCCTTTGTATATAATTTTTTATAAGTCTGAAATTGTTTCAAATTTTAAAAAATCATAAACAATGAAATACTATCTTAAGAGTTATCTCAGTAGGAAATAGCAAATAAGGATATTTGATAAAGGTGTAAAGAAATCAACCCTTATACACTGCTGGTAGAAATGTAAACTTCAACCATTCTGGAAGGCATTTTAGCAATAATTTAAACAGAAGTTCTACTTCTAAGAACTTATTTTTTGAAAATAATCATGGATATGTGCAAACATTTGGCTACAAGGACCTTCATCACTCCAATTATAGAAAGGAAGGGTAAGAACTAATGTCAATGTCCATCTAAAAGGGACTAGTAAAATTATACTAAATCCTTACCATGGATTACCATACAGTTTTTACAATTTTGTAGGATATTTATTTATTTTTATTTATTTTTAAATTTGTTTAGTACAGGGTCTACAGGGTCTCACTACACAGATCGGACTCATAATGATCCTTTTGTTTTCAGCCTCCCAAGTGCTGGGATTACAGGTGTGTCCCATCACACCCAATCTCAACTGCCAGTGCACCGTGGGGGTGGTGCTGGCACAGCACGCTGGGGATTAAACCCTGGTCCCTGAGCCTGCCTAAGCAGGTGCTTTAATCTCTGAGCTATTTGGCCAGTCCTTGTAGGATATATTTATGATGGAAACGTGATCATGACTTACTTATTTTTTGTATTTTAGTGAAGGGTCTACAGGGTGTTCACGGTCTCACTATTAGATCAGACTCAGAGTGATCCACCTGTTTACAGCCTCCCAAGAGCTGGGATTACAGGCCCATGCCACCACACCCAAGTCTCAATCCCTGTTTCAGCGTGCCCTGGGGGCAGGGCAGGCAGAGCAGGCCTAGGGATAGAACCCCCGGCCCCTGAGCCTGCTTGCAGGCACTTTAATCCACTGAGTTATTTGGCTGGCCTTATGACATATTTATTTAAAAAAGTTATGAAAAAGCACATTGATGGCAAAAGACTGTGTACATCAAAGTTAACAATGAGAGCCTGTTACAGTATTGTAAATGATTTATCACTTATTCTACTACAAACACTATAACAAAAACTCACATTTCCCCATTTTGTGTGTGTGTGTGTATACACGTGTGTGTGTGTATATCCATGTAATTTGGATACAATTACATCGTATCCAAAAAATACAATTGTTCTCAAGGACACAGAATTCTGGAGTAGACAGGGGTCTTACAATGCAAATCCCTAACTCAGGAAACTAGACCAACCAAGGTACAGCATAGTCAAATGTTGCAAGCCAAAGAGAAAATCTTGAAAGGAGTAAGAAAAAACTCACCACGTTCCACACACACACACACACACACACACACACAGTAGTAGTCAGCTTTTCATCACCATCAATGAAATACATAACATAAGGTAATTATTAAGGTCTACTGAACGCATGGTTTTGTGGACTAAGTTCAAATGACAGTGTAGTCTCCATGATCACTGCACCTTGGTTGCATGCCTCACAGCACAGAGCAATACCTTGAGCTCAGGTAGGACCTAGCAAGTGACTACATCTTAAACCAGAAGTTCACAAGAGCTGGGTGTGGCACCATCTCCAGAATTACTAAGGAACCTCCCACTATTATCCACCCCTTAAAGGATCCATAGCACCTTCCTGATACCAAAGCCTCCAACCACAGCAATCTCTGGCAGGGGGTGTGGGGGGGTGTGTGGAGGGATGGATGTTGGGGGGGTGGGGCTGGAGGTGGGGAGGAAGGAGGATACAGTTACATCGTATCCAAACATAGTGCACACATGCATGTGCACACACACACAAACAACCCTAACTTCTAAACACAAATGGAAGCCAGAGGCAATTACAAATCCAAACTGCAGGTAAGTTTTAAAAACACATGTCCAGCAAGAATCCTGTTGAAGCTGGGTAGTGTAACACTCCTGTAATCCCAGCAGTGGAAAGGCTGATGTAGGAAGCTCATGAGTTTGAGCCCACTTTAGGCTAGATACTGGGACTTTGTCTCAAGTCTCACCATTAAAGATTGCATCCATGTCGCCTAGTTTGTTATCTCACTTCTCTAAACTTGGACAGCACTTTTTATAAAACTGTAGGCTCTTCCCTAGGATAGGAAGTTCTGGTGGCTGTCCAGGAAAATAACTACCAAGTCACCTAACCATCATCTGGGGCCATTAATCTCTTTTGTCACTACCCTAGCACTGTCTGCCCCTATCTAATCCAAGTGCACCGGAACTGTAGTCAGATTATATAATCTGCAAATATTGACTGACCTTAAACTATGTGTACCAAAAGCTGTGAAAACTCCAATGAAACTCAGATCGTGGGTCCTGTCATGTTTTAGACATGAAACATGGGTCAAATACTCACAAAATAGACGGTGTTTTCAGAATTCTTATTCCACCAGGCTGACTGGGAAATACATCTTCCAAGAAAAAATATATGTGCCCAACTGCAATACCTACAGTCAACCAGAAATAAAGGCTGAGGCAGAGGACTCAAATTTTGATTGAGCATAAACTACCAACATGAATTGCTTATATTTAGGACAAATATTAGTGTAACTGTTAAAAATTAATGAAATACTATTGTAGTCTTTATGATGTAATTTATCAAAAAATCCTACAATAGCCATATAAATACAGACAGGATAAACATGAAAAAAGTGACAATAAATTTATAGGTTAAAACAACAGAAAAAATAAGTATTAAGACTCTTACCCAAGAGGTCCACAATGATTGAGTTCCCCAACAATAAGGAAAACCCCATGAGCACCCAGGGCAGAAAGGGGGCTTGGAAGTTGAGAAGGCCAAAGAAGTTCATGCGAACATATGGGTTCCTTCGGCTCCACACGTAGACCAGCATTATTGTAAAGGCCTGGCCCAAGAAAACTAAGCTCACAAACAAACCAAAAAGCTAGCAGATGGCATTAAGGAAAATATCAACATTCAAAGTATAACAGGGAAGACTAAGACTTGAATTAGAAAAGCTGAGTGATGACATCTTTAGAAGAAAAGGGAAAGTCTGAAAAGCAATAGCGAACCTTTTAGAGTGTTCAATGACAACAAACAGCCTGCTGTGGTATGTGTGCAGGTTCACTACCAATGACCTAGAGCAACCTGTCAAAAACTGGCTTAGGCAAAATCATCAGCATTAAAGCTACTTGAAGCTCTTGCCTCTTTGGCAAATGTTAATTCCTTGGTCAAGCATTACAGTAAATGCTCACTCACCATTAACACTTTTACAGATGAACGATGTCACCTGAAACAGTACAGTCTTATCACATAGTACTGCATCCAAGTCTGTTCTACACAACAAAGTTCTTTTCTTTTTCTTTCTTTTTGGCAGAACCGGAGATTGAACTCAGACCTTTGCGCTTGCCAGGGAAGCACTTATTCCACTGAGCCATCTCCCCGGCCCCCAAAGTTCTTTTCTTTTTATAAATAATGAATCATTTTTGATAGTGACTACACACCTAACTTAGTATAAAAATGATGCATACCCATCAACAATGCAGAACTGAGATGCTTCACAGCAACCCACCTGTGGTAAGTTCCTCTGCCTTGCTCACAGCAGTGGAAAGCCATTCTGTCCAACCTCTAGGTTTGGAAAGCTGTTACAGAAAGCCTACTGTAAAATAGATGGTGATGCCCTGAAGCTAAAATCTGGAGGTCTGCTTTTATCGGTTCATTCAGAGTATCTAGTAAATCATGGAAGACAGATGAAAAGCTTTAAGAAGAGACAGGCTGTTCTTTAACATTTTCTTGTATTTTCTCTATTTGTTGAAGGATACAGTCATTAAGAATCCACCAAAAAGGAACATAAATACAAAATCTGCTGTCCGACCTCGGAAAGAGCCTTCTTCTAGCATTCGACAGTAACGATATCTTAAATTCCAAGTTAAGAAAATGTTAAGCACACAAACATGAAGAAAATAAAATTTAACCTTCTAAGTATACTTGGACTTTCCATTATCTGTAGGTACTCAAGTCTTCATTTCTGCAAAAATGTTTGATAATTTGATTTTTTTTTTTTTGAGATGGGATATTGCTGTGTAGTTCAGGCTAGGTATGAATTCAATCTGCTGTCCAGGCTGGCCTCAAACTCATGCAATCCTACCTGAGCCCTGCCAAGTGTTAGTATTATTAGGCATGTGCTACCATGCCTATTTTTTTAAATTATTAGGCATTTTTAGGCAAAATCAAGACTAGCACCATATTTTACTATGTCTATGGCTGAGGAACTAACCTAGATGTTGCATGAACATACTACCAATCCCCTTTAAATCTTTTCAAATTTGTAATGCTGTCTTTAAGAATTTAGAAGAGTTCCCCATAAAGAAGCCTTGTATGATGTGATACTTATCCAGATCTGGAAAAAGTTAATCATTTGCACTTCAATCAATAAAGATACATGACAATGAAAAAACTTTATTAGAAACTTAAGAGAATGGCCGGGCATGGTGGTGCCTGCCTGTAATTCCAGCACTCAGGAGGTTGAGGCTGAAGGATCATTTTGAGTTTGAGACTAGCCTGGACCACAAAATGAGTTCAAGGTCAGTCTGAACTGCACAGCAAGACCCTATCTCAAAAAAGATACACAAAGACGTAACAGAATGATATACTACTTAAGAGTCATAGGAATCCATGTTAGGTTAAAAATCCTGTCACACAAGATGTTCTATCTACTGTGGTATATACCTCAGTGGCTACAATACTGCCACTGTGCAAAGCTCTACTGTGGTATAAACTAAGCTGTTAACACCCCTTTTACTCGTGGCATGGGGATGGAGGAAGAATACCCTGCTCAGTGGTCAAAACAACCTTTTGACTAGAACATGGCCCTTCCTGTCTTTCAACACACTGGAACAAGGCAAGTCTGGCAGATATTATGGCACTGTCTTTTCAACCAGTAAAACCAGCAACTAAAATCGAAGATCTTATAAGACCCATTCCTCATGAATTTATTTCCAAAGCTTCAGTAAAGCTGTTAATTACTATTATTATTAGTTGTTGGTCTGTTTTGAGACAGGGTTTCACTATACAATTCAAAGTGGCCTTGAACTTACTTCGCAGATCAGGTTGGCCTCGAATTCGTTAAGGATCCTCCTGCTTCAGTCTCCTGACTGTTGGGATCACAGGCATGTACCACAATACCTGGCTACAGCTGTCAATTAATTTACCACTGTATTCAGGTAGTGGTTTACTATTTTGTACCCTGATATTATTTTACAAGTATAATTCAATTTAATCATATCTCCTCTCCCTTGATTAGCTTTGTAAGCAACCTAAAGACAGTAATACTTTTTAGTGGTTAAAACTTCTCATGTAAGTGGCTACACCTTCAAAACATTACAATTTGACGAATTTCTATGTACCACTGACCCAGAAACTGTACCTAATATTTATTTTTTTTTTTTTACCAAAAATAAGTAACATGATTAATAGTTTCAACAATTGTTTTCTGTGATCCTAGAGTTTTAATGCTGCCTCTACTTAATAAAGGATACAGAAAAATCATGTTAAATAAAAAATTGAATCCAACTGGCCCAAAAAATAAGAAATTTGTGATTAATCTCCATATCTGTAGAAAAAAATCAAGAGAAAGATGGATTAAATATATTACCAGGAAACATTTCTCTATATATTTTTAACATTTCCATAGTAAGATAAAAAAGACACCTTAATTTGTGAAGTAGATAACAGTACTTTTAAAGTATCAAAATCTAATGAGTCCAAAGATATAAGACACATCCTACTTTGAACAGTCAACATCTTATAAATATGGCTCTAATAGATTCTAGCTGGAAGATAAAAGGAGATTCACATTCATGTTCCATACCCTGCTATCCTTACCTACTCAGCACACCTACACCCACAACTATTCAAATTGGGAAAGTTTTTAACATTCTAAAGTGTCAAACATACAGTCTACTCTGTCATAATCTTAATAATCCTGAGATACAAGGAAGCTGATACTATCATTCCCATTTCATGTAATTAGAATACTTAAGATAACGTTAAGTTGCTTGCCCAAAGACAAATAGTTGTAGAGATTCTGATCTCAAATCTACAAGGCCTAACTTGAAATACACACGCAGCAGTGTCTTTAAGACTAACACCAAATGAAGTCAAATGAAGCAAGCCAGCAAGAAGCAACACCTGAAAGGAGCTACAGCAAAGGACACATGAGTGCTAAAAGGCTGGGATAAAAGAGAACAGCTTCATGCACCATTAAATCCTTCGGAATCAATTAAAATGGAAACAACTGTACATATTAATTGCAACCACGATTTTAGAAATCTCATCCTATTGCATTTCCCCCAAAATAAGCTGAGCCTTGTATTAAGTTCTGCTCTAAAAGATGCAATAGGGCTTGTTTTCAGGGGATGTTTTATTTTTATGCACAACAACCTACATTTTTATTTATGTACAAAAATCTTCCTTTGTTCAAATATAGTAATGTCATCTTCTTCTGAACACTGTCATGACCCCAAACACCAAATTTTGGCTTGTTTCTCGTGACTCCATTTCCTGTAGAACCAGTGGGCCCAGTATCTTTCAAGTTCAACAACAAAGATCTCCTTCAATGAGCATTTCTTGTCCATGTAGCTTGTTGCTAGTGCAATGGCAACACAGCTGTCACCAATTTTATCCCATGAATTCTTCACCCAAGTTATGACCTCTTGTAAGTGAGACTCCACAAAGTTCCTATTAAGTCAAATGTTACTTGAAAACTTACGAGACAGGAGTGGCAACAAAAATGATGACAGTTAAGAATGATGGTTCACACGTGACAAAAAGTTGTGGGTACCAATATTCAGAAAATGTTTATTTCACAGAAGTGCATTAAGTATGACTGTTACAACACATGATGTACTGAATTATGAAGATTCGTATTAGGCACAACCACATCCATTATCAAGTGTGCATTATTCTTTGTGGGTTGTGCTTGTACTTTGGTCATTTAGCATTAAGTATTGAATTCATCTGTTTACATAGGTGTTTACCTCTTGTCCAAAGATGCCACTTGGGTATCAACATATAGTTATTTTATTAAGTATTAGTGTCAATATTTATATTGAATTGTACATTATCTATCTTATAATTCAATATATGTGTCATGTGTTATAACAGACATACTAAATGCATACTGCCTGACAATCTTAATGGCTTATTTTGGGAGTAGGGCTTAAACTATGGGTACAGTAAAAAATCACATTAAGACTTATTTTCCAGTTAGGTCTTATTCCTGGGTAAACATGGTAGTGAGAAGGCCAACATACAACTAAAAGGAAAGAGCAAAGAAAGAATGAGGCTACATAAATGTTGCATCTTGAAAGGTGAGCTGGATTTCGGTGTATACAGTAAATATATTTGACAAACAGAAAACACGTGTAGGGGCAGAATTATTCATTTTTGGGTCTTGCCTCCACATATAGTGTTTATTATTATTTTTTTTGGGAAGGGTCTACAGGGTGTTCAGGGTCTCACTACTGGATTGATTTGTTGTGATCTGCTTGTTTGTAGCTTCCCAAGGGCTGGGATTACAGGGATGCGCCACCATGCCCTGTCTCAATAGCTGTCTCAGTGCACCTTGGGGGGGTGGGGCCAGCATGGCAGGCCCCGGGAATAGAACCCTGGCCTCTGTGCCCACTTGCAGGCGCTTTTAATCCACGGAGCTATTTGGCTGGCCCCACATATAGTGTTTATGATCATTCTGGAGATGGCAAATGTTTCTTTTAGTATTTTAATCAATGGAAAAGGCTATTTCCCATGGTAATATAATAAACCATACTGTTTTAGATGTTGGACTTTTAGAGTGGTATTAGTATAAGCTGATCTTGGGAGAAGGATCAATTTAAAAGCAATACTGAAACTGAGTTTATGAACTAGACCCTAACAAGAAGTTGGTGGGTGTGCCCAGATGGTGAATGAAAATAAAGCCATCCTGTGTCTCTCTCTCTGGGCAGTCTCTCAAACTACAACACAAAATCTTTATCGGTGATCTCTATCAAAACCACACAGAAAACTTTAAAAATGAAGTACAGATCCTATATTTTTAGTCTTAGTGATTCTGATGTATTATATGGTGAAGATCTTGAAAATCTCTTAAAAGTTCCCTGATTCTAAAGGGTACCCAGGCTGCTTTACGCCTCAACTACAAGACTTATAGTCAGAAGTCTTAAGAAAAACACCATATGGCAGGATTTGCTACAAACAACAAAAATAAGAAACAGAAATATTAACCATTTCACAATGGATCACTTACTTGAAAGTGTTTAAAAATTAATTCAGGATTGAAGTACAACTGAAAAGGTGTAATCAATTCCAACTGCTGAAATAGAAAAAGAGTTGCTTAAAGAAAATCAAAAAACAAAATTTTGTCACAACAAAGATTACTAGGTGTAGCAGTTTTCTGTAACTTTAAGCCTTTTAGAGTATAGATAAGGCTTATTAAGATTTCTCAAACTGGTACAATTGTTTGTATTTTCAATATCTAACACAAAATTAAAGTTTTCTCTCTCAGTACTTGAGGATGACATGAAAGCTTGCGAAGCAGGCTGGTGGTATTTTAGATACAGGACGAATAAAGCAGTTGCTACCAATCTGCCCATCACGTGGGCACCACCTGGGACAGCGGGGTTAAGCAATACAACTCACTGAAATAACTGAAACCTTGCCACTATTAGGGCTGCGTGCCTCCTGCCTGCCCCTTATATCCACAGGCCCTCTTATTTTAATGTTTCTCGCTTGGTAATTTCCAGCGTTGTATTCTCAACACTCAAGTCTTCTCACTTAGCGGAATGTCCTTTTTCTAGACACTACGGAAAACCAGGCACTTGCTAGAGCTCTCGCACAGGTTTCTTGGGTGGGCGGCTCCCGCAGCCCTGACCCGCTATAGGTTAGAATTTCACCTCTGCGACGGACCTGACTCTTCACGAGGCAGCCCACCCTTTTCAGGTCACTGGCTTAGCATTCTTGGGTCTATTCCGAACCTCAGAGTTAGCTCCCCCCACACCCACCCAGCCCTCAGACCAGACCCTCTGGGCGTCCCTGAGGCCCAAACCCAATTTTCTGAAGAACCAGTCACATCCAGCCGGGATATTAGAAGGCGGCGCTGAAGCTTCTCACCACAGCAGCGGTGGTGAGGACGCAAGCGGTGGTGTAGGCGCGGCTGACCGGCGGTATCTGTAAATACTCCAGCCGCAGGCTCTGGTACGCCATCTTCCCCACCGCCACCTGCCCCCCTTCCCCTTCCGCCAGTGTGCTCAAGCGGCGGGGCGGGCTCAAACGCCCCTGCCTTTAACCTAGCCTCTGCTGTCCAGTCAGTGCCGCGCAATCGGCCAACCACCAATCGCTGGCATCCTAAGGAACGCGCATCGGCCAATGACGAGTTGGATCTCCGCTTCGCCCCGCCCACTCATTTCTCCGCCCACCAACGTAGAGGAAAGGAGAGAAAGTACCGGTCCTTCCGCCAATCCCCGCAGGCCACAGCGAGTTTTCCTTCCTGGCCTCTTTCCGTCACTAGTGGTTGTACCCCCGCCGACCCGACAGCCAGCCAATCAGAATCGCAACAGCATCCCGCCTTTGTTTTGTTCGCTTAGGCACTAAGTCAGTTGGAGTTTTGAGGACTAGCTACACTGTTCAAATCCCGCGGATCGCGGGTGTATGAGAGGAGGTCAAGGGAAGAGCAGTTTGCGGTCGATTTCATCACCTCTGTGGTCGTTAAGGTAAATGCCGCGGGGCTGTGTTTTTTCCTGAGGAGGAACGGGAAGAGGCGGGAGTGGGTGGATATCTTCGCAGGGGCTCCCGAATGGGGTCAGGTAGTCTTATCCAGTGGGCCTCTGGCCCAAATCCAAAGATCCCGGCATGCAGCGGGCCGGGCCGGGCCGGGAGCCCAGAGCCGACCGGAAGCAGCTTCTGCTCTGTGGGTTCCGGGCCCTGGCCGGCAAATTCGCGGGCTATTCAGCAACTAAACCATGATGGCCTGGGCGTTTCCCACGTTTAATCCCAGGAGTTCCCAAGTCTAGCAGTGAAAGCAGGACTATAGTCAGTGCTCACTAAAGGCCCTGATGGGAATTCAAAAGAGGGAGTGGGGATGTCATCGGAAGTATATTTGAACTATTTGTCCTAAACGTGAGATAAATGTTGTAAAATTGATATTAATGTTTTAGTCAGAACCAGTGAAGTAAACTCAACTCTAATAATATGAAATGAACACAAACAAAAATGTAATAGATTATAAAAACTGTGTTTTTAAAGAATATATGTAATACTTTATCCAAAGATAAAGGTGAATTGAAAAGATAAACATTAAAAACAGTAGGTTAGGTTGCTACTAAGCATGGGTGATTCAAAGTAGATGAATAAATAAGACAGGATTTAACATGGACCAAAAAATAAAGTATTACCAAAGTCAATTACACCTATATAAAGTACTTAAAAAGAAGAGTGTAGTTGGGAAGGCTCAGGTGATGAAGAACCTTGTCATTTTGGAAGGACTTAAACTTGATCCTGGAGGCATAGGGAGTTGTTGAAATAAAAATTCTGCTAACCCAAGGAATCGTCTGTAAAGAGAAAATAAAACAGGTTTGTTATTAAATAGTATAACTAGATTTGTAGATAATCTGTAAATTAGATTATAAAAACAAACTACGTTTACTTATACTGCCACACAGTTATAACCACTCTATTTTAAACTGTTACATAAATTTTCAAGATTAATAACATCCTTTATTTTTAATTTTTCTTTTTTTCTGTGGTACGCTCAGGCCATCCTGCGGGCGGGGCTGACACAAGTGGTGCCTGTGCACTTGCCTAAGCTTGCCTAAGTAGGTGCTTTAGACCACTGAGCTATCTTGCCAGCCCACACATCCTTTCTTCTTGTAAGACTTTTTTTTTTTTTTTTTTAAACTGGCAGTTGGTCTTAGGACCTTGTGCTTACCAGGTAGGCACTGTGCCACTGAGATATATCCCTGGATGTAAGACTTGACTGTACTATTTGCTGCAGTTCCTTCCAGAAGTTCATCCTAAAATCACCTGGCAGTTTAAGTAGCAGTCTGTATTATCCACCTTTCTTTAATTTGAAGTAATAAAACTGTTTCATTTCTATAACAAGCATATGGTAACAGCTAGGGCAAAGATGCCAGGTTAAGCTCCCACAGTGACAGGGATAAAGAGTGATAATTTTCTAAATGTTTACAATAGAAAGGAATGGCTCCCAAATCCTTAAAGAAAGAAAATTAAAGTTGTAAAACTAATAAGTGGCTTGTTTATCTTCTAATTGGGATTTTTTTTTTTTTTAAACTCAGATGTCTAGATTAGAAGACAAGGGAATAGAGGACATTTACGACTGGGTATACAAATGATACATCATAAGGTCTAAAAGGAATGGGGAAAGAAGTGAGACACTGAAAGAAAGAAAGGATTGAAGGATTTAAAATACAGTGCGTGTAGGGCTGGCCAGATAGCTCAGCGGATTAAAGCACCTGCAAACAGGCACAGAGATCAGGGATTTGATCCTGGGGCGCGCTGAGATTGCATTTGAGACTGGGTGTGGTGGCACATGCCTGTAATCCCAGCTCTTGAGAGGCTGTAAACAGGCGGATGAGTACGAGTTGATCTAGTAGTGAGACCCTGAACACCCTGTAGACCCTTCCCTAAAAGAAAAAAAAAAAGTGTGTAAATGACAATTGGAACAATAACATAAGAGGTTGTGGTAAAAAAAAAAAAAAAAAAAAAATATATATATATATATATATTATTAGGGAGAGAAATGATAAATGTCAAGATCCAGGAGCCGCATATAATAGAGATGTAGGTCATTGAAACTCCAGAATGTGTAGGGCTGTGGTGGCAAACCTATGGCACATGTGCCACAGCAGCTATTTATCATTGAAAGCTCTAAAAGTTTCACCATTACTGACCTGTGGCATTAAATAGGTCATCTGTTTAAACTTCACCTGTTTAAACTGTTACTCTCTAGGATAGTACCAGAATTCAGAATATTGAGCTATGTGCTTAAGCCTTCATAATGAGAGAAGAAGAAATAAATGATAGAGGCTGGGAAGAGGGTGTAGATTGAGGAAAATGCCTCAGAGAAGCAAACTTCTGTATCCTTTTGAGAACAAGTAAGGGTGGAAATAACAGGTGTCAAGGAACACTATTTTTATTTGTTATCATAACATAATTTCTTTCCTGTGTTTTTTAATTCAAATGAAAAAAATTGTTTTCATTTGCAGATTTTTTTTCACAATTGAGGATAGCCAAGTAAATCAAGATGTCTGTGGATCCAATGACCTACGAGGCCCAGTTCTTTGGATTCACACCACAAACTTGCATGTTTAGGATCTACATTGCATTTCAAGACTACCTGTTTGAAGTGATGCAGGCTGTTGAACAGGTTATTTTGAAGAAGATGGAGGGCATCCCAGGTTGTGACATTACTCCAGTCCAGATTCGTAAATGCACAGAGAAGTTTCTTTGCTTCATGAAAGGACATTTTGATAACCTTTTTGGCAAAATGGAACAGCTATTTTTGCAAATGATTTTGCGTATTCCCCCTAACATCTTGCTTCCTGAAGATAAATGCCAGGAGATGTATCCTTATAGTGAGGAAGAATTTCAGCTTCTACAAAAAGAAATCAAAGAATTACAAGAGAAGTGTAAGGTTGAAATGTATACTAAGCAAGCCCTTCTTGCAGAATTAGAAGAGCAAAAAATAGTTGAGGACAAACTGAAACAGACCTTGACTTTGTTTGATGAGCTTGAAAATGTTGGAAGAGATCATGGGACTAGTGATTTTAGGGAGAGTTTGGTGTCTGTGGTCCAGAATTCCAGAAAACTCCAGGATATTAGAGATAATGTGGAAAAGGAAAGCAAAAGACTGAAAATATCTTAATTTCTGTATGGTAAAAAGATTCTGTTAAAAAGATTTTCTTCGCTTACTCTTTCTTGGGTGCTGTATCTTACTGTTTTTCTTTTTTTTTTATTCCATTCACCTGAAGTAGCTGTGTATTACCTTGAACTAGTCTTGGAAAAAATTTGTTCATTAGAGACCTCAAATAGATGGGAAGCATTCTTAATAATTAATTAAAAATTAATGACTCATGTGGCAGCAAGTTCATAGGAGTGAAACTATGACTGAAGATATTATGAAGCTGTACCTTTTGTGACCATAATTCTTGTAGCTTATTTTTGGATTAATCAAATGCAATAAGTCCTGGATTTATGATTGAGTTTTGTTCTAGGAGAATGTTTAAGTCTGATTTGGTCTTAAGTCTGACAAAGTGAATCTATGTACCTTTAACAGAATTATGCAATGTAAAGCACACACAAAAAAGAATGAACAGCATCTACTGTCTTTTTTGCCTCAATATATTCACCAATTATTTTTACTTTTGTTTCCATGGTTATTGCTTTGCACTTTATAGCAGTTCCCTGTAATTACCACTGCTTTTCCTGTTGCTTCCAGACAACCTGAGCTCTGAGCACTTTATACCATATAAGCCCACAACAGCACAACTGTGACAATGTCCAGCAGGCATGTGAGCTACTCCTGTGATTTGTCCATGTTCACATCTATGAATGGTTGACATCTGAGGCCTATTTGTATTTGTGGAAATTCTCAACTCAAATCTTCCCTATTTGGGGATTTACTGTAAGTAAAGGGTTAACCAGGCATGGTGGTATGTTATAATCCCAGCTCTCATGAAACTGGCAGGAAGATTGCTGTGAGTTGAAGGCAGCTTGGTCTCATAAGACAGCCTAAGTTACAAAGTGAGACCCTGTTTCAATAAGAAAAGGGTTAAACAGGCAGCTTCTTTATTAACTAGTTATTACATTGTGGAACAACCAACAGAGTTCTTGCTCTTGTCTCATGTAAGGAAGTTAATAACTACTGATTAAAAGAAGCAAGTATTAAAAAAAGAACTTGTGGCCAAGATGGTGTCATATGCTTGTAATCCCCAGCACTTGGGAAGCTAAACCAGTATGATTGTGAGTTTAAGGTTAGTTAGGACTACGTAGTGAGACCCTCTTTGAAAACAGAAAAGTATTTGTTTTTAGAATCTTTTCTATGAGCAAGGGCCCAGTGATCTTAAGCAGTTTACTGCTTTGGAGTCCAGTAGAAGACCTTGGATAAAAAAGCAGATCCTACTGAAATAGAAAAAGAAGCATGTGTTATACCCAATAATGAAAATTATGTATACTGACTTGTAGGTGTTTGTTTGATTTTTTTTTTTTTTTTTTTTTTTTTTTTTTTGTAGTAGGCATGGGACCCAGGGGCTTTATGCTGAACTACAGGGTATGAACTAATTCTCTTAGTTGCCTAGACTTGGCTTGAATTTGCCAGTTCTGTTGCAGCCTGGATTATATCATAACCCTTTCTGTTCTACCTAGTCTATTGTACCTAATCTGGATCTCCATTTTTCTACCCCAAATTCAAATAAGTTTCTTGGTTCCTTCACATATGTCATTATACTCAGTTGCTTATACAACCTTAACACTGGCTTCAACAGTCTTCTAAATATCCAGCCCTGTGTTAGAAATGTAGTTCATTAGAACAATTTCCAATTATGTGCCTGGGATTATAAACCTATGCCACTGTGGCTGGCTTGACTCTAGATTTTATATCTGTGTTTTTTCATACTAGTTTTGAAGCTAGGCATAGAGACACATGCCTGTAATCTCAGCACGCAGAAGGTTGAGGCAGGAGGATCACTGTCCTTGAACACAGCAATCTTGCCTTCTCCTGAGTCTGGGATTACAGATAAGTGCTACCACTCAGGTGCCTCCTTTGCTTTTTTACTGAAGGTGGGCATATGATCCCAGCCAGGCCAATAGGACTTTAGGTTTTTTTTGTTGTTGTTGTTTGTTTTTCATAATTTTATTGAGAAACGAAAAGCAATGAGACAGTTTCAAACCAAATTGGTAGGACAGTTTCAATAATTAACACATTGCATACATTCTTCCTAGTGGTTAATTGCTGTATAAGATGCGGACATGATACCCTATTTACAAAGGACTTTATTTTTTTTTTTTTTAATTTTTGTTTTGTTGTGGTGGTGCGGAACATTGTGTATGGTAAGCATTTACTGTACTAATGGGCTATGCACCCAGTACCCTAGAACAGCAACATGGCATAAAGAACCAAAATTGCACATGTTGATTTTTTATGGTCAGATGCTTAAAAAGCTGTACATTAACAATAAACAAGGAAAGGCTTGGTATCTTGGAGAAAGGAGCGGTCACCAGAAAATATGTGAACAATGGGGACATATATGATCACATATTCTGGGGCACAAATGATAAAATTCATTAGGTCAACTACATGATGATACTAAAGGATGGTGTGAGAATAGTGGAAATTGAGTTTTAGAAAAATCAGGCCAAAAGAGCTTGATGGAGCTAGAAGTTAGAAGGAAAGTAAGCAGGTACAGGACAAAGTAGGCCAATGGGAGAGAAAGAGGGAGGGTGGGAAGAATGGTTGAATCTTGAGGCTGAATGACCTTAACTTGACTCATTAATGAGGTAGATATTGGAAGGCTAGAGTTCAGCAATGGAGAGATGATAAATATATGGGAAACTAATGAACTGAAAGAAGGGGATCAAATGAGTCTCTTATTTAGTTTTGTGGTGTTGGGGATCCAACCCAGTGCCTTGCACATGGTAGGTAATTGCTTTACCAATGAACTACATTTCCAACATAGGGCTGGATATTTAGGAGAATGTTGAAGCCAATGTTAAGGTGGTAGAAACAATTGAGTATAGTAATACAGGTGAAGAAACCAGACACTTATTTGAATTTGTGGTAGAAAACTGGAGATCCAGATTGGGTAGAAAAGAGTTATTGATACGATGGAGTAAAAACATGTTGAAGGATGGGAACTTTGGTTCTGGGAAACAGGAGGATGATTCTCTCGGGGGATTAGACAACAGAAGAATATTGTAGGATTATATTGTAAGGTAGTTATTGAAAGATTATATGATGTATGAATGGGAAACAGTGGGATCAAATGGAGAACACCAGTCATATATTGAGATTCAGTGGGAATTCATACTACAATTTAGTAGATGAAATGGCTGAGATTGAAAAATGGAAAACATTGTGGTGCCTTAGAGACAATGTGGACTTACTGTAAACTGTAAAGTACAGGTTGATATTGAGGAAGAGTTGGTGTCTTACAAACACTGAAATAAAAGTATAGAGGCATCGAGGAGTGAGAACTTAGAAATAACAAGACCTTATTATTGGAAAACATAGTTTAGAAAGACCTAGGCTAGGTGAACCAGGGAGCAAATTGCAGAGCTTGTTTGGACTCTTGGACTAGAAATCAGGACTGAATACTGAGGAGAAATAAGTAGTACAGTGATGGCAGATCTGTTGTTAGGGAACAGTAGTATTGGACTGATATGAGGAACTAATATGGTGAAAGATGCCATTAAATTTGACCAGGAAAAAAACAACCCAAGTAAGTGGTCTGATTTTATTTTATGTGCCCTCTGGATTGTGAGACTGATCATTTTTCTCTTGTTGACTACTAGAAGAAAGCTTGGAACTGAACGTATGGTCTAAGCATAGTACTTGATATGAGACTCAATGGTATGTATGCACTTTATATTAGCTATAATCTGGAGTTCATTTTATGTTCCTATTTTATGGGGTTTTTTTTTCCTGTATTTTAGGCAAGGGTCTAAAGGGTATTTATTCAGGGTCTCACTACTAGATCAGACTCATAGTGATTCTCCTGTTTACAGCCTCCCAAGAGCTGAGATTACAGGCGCACACCACCATGCCCAGTCTCAATGGTTTTTATTTTTATTTTATTATCTACTTTGAATGTATGCTATCTTGTGTTTTGTGTATTCTTATAAGCCACATAAAATACATTTTGGAACTATATGTGGAATAAATAGGTGAATAAATACATTAATAAATAAACCAATAATCAAAAAAAAAAAGATGCCATTAAAGGATCTCCTGTGGAGGGAGATAATTGTGCCTCAGATTCTGTATAAAGGGTGGCATCTGCTTTGAAGGGACAGTAGGGATGTTGGGAAGATAATGGGGTAGTGGGTATGATGGCCCACGCCTGTCTTCCCAGGGAGTCTGAAGCTGGAGGATCACAAGTTTAAGCCCAGCCTGGGCAATTTAGTGATTTAGGGTGGCCCTGTCTACAAAAAGGGCTGTGGATGTACCTCAGTGAGAAGCCTCTGAGTCCTCCCAGTACAGGGGGCGAAGCTGGGAGTAAAGTTTGGAGCAGATTGCAAGTCTGATAAGTTGCATTGCACAGTTGGAGTTAGGGTTTAGATGGGGAATGACCCCTCCCAAGGCCTCATGTGCTCACAGGGGGGTTTTTGGAAGGTGATGAAATGAGTGATGATGGTAGCTCAGTTGCTGTTTGGAAGTGGGGCCTGTCAGCGGAGGTGGGTCACTGGAGGGTGCTCTGGAAGGGTCCTCCCTGCTTGGCTTCTCACTTTCCTTTCTGGCCACCATGAGGCAAACAGCCCTCCTAACCAGGCCCTCTCACCAGGCCTCTGCTTGAAGCCAGCTGGCCCTGGACTATGACTATGAGCCAAAACGAACCTTCCTGTAAGCTGTGGGTGTTGGGTATTTGTCTCAGCAACAAGTGGAATGACTAAGACAGGTGGAAATTAAGGGATAACTGATAACAGAGGAGACAGAAAAGGCAATTTACTCCATTAGCAGTAACACAATTACAGGCATTTTCATAAGATATATGCAGTATTAAAGCGAAGCATTTGGACATTTGACATTCATGAATAAACAAAGAAGGCAGATGAATTTAATAACCTGCCAAGGGGTTCTGGTATTAGTCCTTCTGCATCTGAGATGGCAAACCCCAGCAGGAACTCTTGTTATCAACACCCCCAGACCCCTTGCTGTTGGTTTCCATCGCTCCAGAAGGGCTCTGGGGAATGAAGCCCTTCCAGAATCCTCTACAGAGCCCTCCCACAGACCCTAGCCAGGACCCCCAGAGTCTCATCCAGTGCAGCACTCAAGCTTGGACCTCTGGAGGTCCGCAGCCACAGGTCCCATGGGCTCAGGACACGTCCTGGGCGTGGCTTTCTGGTAGGACAGCTCTTTTGTACTGGTCTTGCCTCCATCTGGCAGCGATGACAGAGCCTAAGCCAGGAAAAAAAAAAAAAAAAACTCATAGTCTGAGTGAAGTGTAAAGCCTCAGGGTGCAGCACTGGACAAACGCCACTCACCTGGCCCAGCTCCAGCAGAGCTTGCTGCGTGACCAGGTCCTCTGAGCACAGCTGGCTCTTCCTGGGGGCGATGCAGCATCACAGGCCTCCAGCCCAGTTGGGCCAAGAGCACGACCCTCCCCAGAGGACCTTCTCTGGAAAGGCGAGGGTCCAGGCTCATCCCGTAAGGAACAGAAGGTTGAGCTTGGTCTGTGCTCCCCAAACACAAGATGCTGGCTTTTCTGCTGCGTACCACATCACAAAGTAAGCATACAGAGACATATCCCTAATTATAAATGGATTCAATTGTACCACGTATTTTTAAACAGTAGGTCTGTCCCCCACCCCACCCCACCCCCGGCAGGTGCAAAGAATGTTATTTCATTTCTGACAGATGCAGTATTTGGGGCGTTTTTATGCATGGGCAATTAGACAAAGAGAGCAACAACAAGGAGGGAAAGATACAGCATTGAAAATTAGACGAAGGGGGTGCAGTACATCTCGAAAGCAAATATATTAAACCCTTCTTTTATCCTCCCTCCCACGTCGGCCCTGCGCCCACCCCGACCTGCCCTGGCCACTCAGGCAAGCTGTAAATGGATATAGGTAAAGATGCAGGAGGTGATGGAAAAGGCGATGGCCGCGTAGATAAAGATAGAGAGATGAGGAAAATGGTCGAGATAGCAGCCCTCATCCAGAGGAGTCGTCTCCTCTTTGGGCGGGGTGCTCGCAGTAGGCCTCTGGGGCTGCCCGGCACGGGCTCCCTGTGCCTTCCCGCCTAAGCGCCGACCAGGTATTTTGCTCGCGGCTGACCGGGACTTGGGTACGCAGGGCTCTTCTGGAGGAGGCTTGTCAAATAGGCCCTCTGACTCAGGGTCAGAGTCAGAGCGCATCTGCTCCGCGCCCCAGGGCTTGCGCTGGAAGAGTCCCTCAGCCATTGGTACGCAGCACAAGTGGTAGGGTCAGCACTGTCTGTGCGCTTGGTCTGTGGTAGGATCTGTCGGAGCGCAGTGGGCAGCGGCAGACGCAGCAGCGAATTTCTATCACTAGAGATGGAGGGGGCGGAGCCAGCGAGACAGGGGGCCTCTGCAGGGTCTGCTGGGCCTCAGCAGAGCAGTCACTTCTCTGGGCTCCTCCTTCCACCCCCAGCTTGTTGCAGCGGTTGGTTCTCTCCCTGGGAGATGTCTGGCCAGCTCAGAAGTCTGGTGAGGTGTGTCTCCATGGCAACCAGACTGGAGATGCCGAGGAGAGGTGCCAGCCACTGAGATACCTCAGGGCTCACTTAAAAGTGAGCACTTGGCACGCAGGAAGCAGAAGTGGGGACGTCAAAGCTCCCGGTTGCCTGTAGACTTTCTCAAAAACAAACAAACAAACAAAAATGTTTGCTGCGAGATCTTTAAAAAATTAATTCTAATACGTGAAAAATAATCTTGTAGAAAACTTGAAATTTAGTAAGCAGTATAAGCAAAAACAATAACAAAGCATCCCACAGTCTCAAGGTGCAGAAGTCAAAGTTAGTGTTGGTGCTTTTCTCTCCCTTTCTGTCTATACTTGGTCCATACATCCTCTGTGCTCTTCATGGTTACCTACAAATGCAGGAATCCAGCCTTTTGGACATCTCACATACACTTAGGACCAAGAACTTTCAGTGATCCTTTTAACTGGAGCCCATTTCCTTTCCCAGTTTTGCTCAGACCCCTCTGTACTACCACAGGCTTCTGGGTAACCTTCTTAGCCTCCCCATGTGCCACCACGCCCAATTTCAGGGCTGGCACAGCGCACCCAGGGTTCTGGAACCACCCACTGGCAACCTAGGCTGCCCAAGAGGTTTGGAGGCTGATTGGTGGGTTTTCTGGAACCAGGAAGAAGAATTGCTTGTGTTGATTTGAATCCCAGCAGGTTGGAGGGCTCACTGGCAGGCCCTGTTAGTTGCAGCAGTTCCAACTCACACTACCATCAGGCAGCTTAGGCTTCACTCTTGGATTCCTCCAGCAGGAACCAGGATCAGGGTGGTGAAATAATGTTGCCAGAATGCTGTCTTTCTATCTCACATTGTCCAAGGATTTCTTGAATAGGCAAAGACTACTAAGTAGTGGTAGGTATACAGGAAACAGTTGTTGAATAAGTGATGGTGTGAGTGCTGCTGTTGGTAGTAGAAGGTTCACATTCTGAGATTAGCAGCTCCAGCTAAAAGAGGAACTTACTGAGACCTTGCTTCAAAATGAAAAATAGAAAAATGAAGGGTTGGGATTGTAGCTCAGCAGTAGAGTGGTTGCCTAACATGTGCAAGGCCTGGTGTTTGATTTCTGGTACTGCAGAAACAGACAAACATCCCCAGTACCCCATGCCGTGCAGGCCCCAGAACCCTGGGTGCACTATGCCAGCCCTGAAGTTGGGCATGATGGCACATGGGGAGGCTGAGACAGGAGGATCACTATGAGTCTGAACTGCATAGCAAGACCCTGTAAGAACAACAACAAAATAATAATAATAAAAATCCCACGGAATGGTGTCAAGTACCCATAGGAAAGAATGAGATGATTTTAGGTGGCACACAAACTTTAAAAAAAAAAAACAAAAAAAAAAAAAAACCTTAAAAACAAAACAAAACAAAAAAACCTAGCTCTTACAATAGTACTTATTTTACTATGCTTCAGAAAACCTAGATAAATATAAGGGAAAAAAAACCCCATAAATTCCAGATGTTAAGTATTCTGCTTAAAAAATGAAGTAAACAAACTCTACAGATTGCCAATGGATGTGGAAAAATCATTGAGCCAGATAAGGAATGCCTAAAATTTAGAAAATTCTGGGACAACATAGAAGCATGTTGTATGAAAAAAAAAAAAAAAGACTAATTTGGTTGTCTTTTTTGGAGACAGAGTTTCACTATACAGTTCAGGCTAGTGTTGAACTCACTATATAACCTAGTATGTTTCTAAAATTATAGTAATCCTCCTACTTCAGATTCCCAAGTGCCGGGGCTACAGATGTATGTCAAAATAAGATGAATTTTTAAATTTGAAAGTTTATTACAGCACAGCCAGTGAGCTAGCTTAGCAGGATTAAGTGCCTGCTTAGGCGAATGCAAGGACCAGGGTTCCATCCCTGGTACCACATACCATGCCAGCCCCACCCCAGACACACCAAGCCAGCCTTTGGGACCAGGCATGATGGCACATGCCTGTAATCTCAACACTGGAGAGGCTGAAAACAGGAGGATCACTATGAGTCTGAGCTGGTTGCGAGACCCTGTACCAAATATATTAAAAAAAATTAATATAGAAAAGGACACATTGCCATTAATTCCCCCTCAGGATACTTCTCCTGGGTTTAAGCACACTTGTTCCATTGTTCTTGTACTTTCTGAAGCAGTTCTGCAAATCCTCTGTGTTCATGAAACATGACTAAAAATATGGCAAATGCTGCTGCTGCCTGCCATTCAATGTAAAAATATCACAGTATATCCTCATTACCTTATTCACCAGATCTGGCACCATGAACTTCTGGCTCTTCCCCAAAGTAAAAATGACCGTGAAGGGTAAACATTTTGAAGCGATTCAGAATACTGAGGCAGCAGCAACACTACAATTAAAGAAATGAGAAAGGACTTCTAGCACTGCTTCAGAAAGTGGCAAAAACAATGGGATAAATGTATTTGAAGTGAGAGAGAGGGTATTCTGAGGGGAAATTAATGTCCATGTGTCTTTTACTGTAATAGATTTACAAAATCTAAATACCATATTTTTAAATCATATCTCATATATGACAATTTTATGAACAGTACAAGATAAACTCTACACAACCATGAGATATTATTACCTATAAATAATTTCTTTTTACATAATGATGAATCCAAGGATGAATGGTCAAGGGGGCTGTTAACTCCTCCACAATCTCTACCAGGTCCCTCCTGTACTTTGATATGCACAATTTTTTTTTTTTTTTTGAGACAAGATCTTGCTGTGTCAGGCCAGGCTGATCTTGAACTTGTTAGCCTCTTACCTCAGCCTCCTGAGTGCTGTGATTATAGATATCAGCCACCATGCCCAGCTCTAGATGTTTTATTTTAAGTGCTATGTTGGTTATTTTTCTCATTGCTGAGATAAAATACATGACATCCAAAGTTAAAGAGGGAAAGGTTTATTTAGCTCAGTTTGTAGAGGTTTCAGTCTATAATCACAATCTGTAGAGGCTTCAGTCCATAGTTAACTTGATCAAATGCAGGGTGGCCTGGCTGAGGTGCATCACACAGGAGAAATAGTGCATGGCAAATAGGCAGAAGACAGCAAAACATCAAGCAGCAGCAACTAACTGCCTTTTTATTTCACCCAGGCTGCCCACACTGTGGGCAATGCCACCCATATCCAGAGTGGGGCACCCTTAATCCTAATGTCATACCCATAATCCTTGCATCGTATACTCTAGATCCATCCACCTCTCAAAACTCCACTTATCACCACATAAGGCTTTGAGAGGGGACATCTAGTTAGATACAAGCCTTAACAAGTGATGTGTGATACCAGTAGTTTCAAGTCCCTTATATCTCCTTCCAAGATGATGTATCAGTTTGTGGGCCTTGTGCTGTAACAAATCTTGAAGTTCCCTTCTGTACACAAATCAGTTTATGGAGCCTTGGTTTTTCCCCTGGGCCTTAAGACCAAGGGCCAATGAATCTTTCAAATTGCAGATTAGAAGGAAAGAATAAAAGCATGGAAGTGCAGGGTGGCATGTGTAAGAAGGTGTGGGGCTGAGAAAGCCACAGGACCTGCCATGCGGTTTGGGCAGAGGATGAACAGTGGGGAAAGGTCTTAAAGCAGAACTGTACAAGGGATTACTGGGCAGGGCTGGTGCTTAAGTAAGGTGTGAAGGTGCAAAAAATGCTTTAGCTATTCCATGGGCCCATTGCATATTTAGAGGGTGTAAATGTAAGTTCAGAGTTCAGATAACTGAACTCTGTATGATACCTTGTTATTTTTTACCTGGTCTGTTTGTCCAGAACCGAACAAAATGTATGTAAACTCTTGCCCAGCCCAGGTGATCTCTGTCAGGAGTTGAGAGCTTGGCTGACTGTGGGCAGAGAACCCTAGAACAGGTTCTATTTATGCTTAAGATGAATGAACTCATTCTGCCCTGAGCCAGAGACATCAGGTCTCCAAGTATTGCAAAAAGACAGGTATCAAAAAGCCTTAAGCTGTAGCCTCACTCTCTGCCTGGCACCAAAGTATTCCAGGAAAAACCATGAGTCCAGAGCCTACAACCAGACAGTTGTATTCCCTTTAAAAGGTGCACCAAGAGCATCAGGCATAATACAGAAAGATTTCTTTAAGCTCAAAGTTCTTGTTTCCAGTGGAGGAGTCAAGCCATGGTGGTGGTGATGATATTGTATATGTGCATGTGTGTGCATCATGTGTGTGAGTATTAGATGGATGAGGAGAGGGCCTTCCAGGAATCCTTGCTGTTTGTGTTGCAGCTACTTGTCATCTTGACAACTATGACTGCTTTAAAACTGGCTGCTACCGCCTACCAACTTCTGGCTGGCTGCACCATCCCAGCTGCAGGTAGAAAAGCTGAGCTGGGACTCCTCTTCTGCACATATGCCTGAGTCTAGAGCAGGTGGTCACCTATTGAATGTGCTAGGGCATTTCTATCTTGAGGTGGAGACAGCTGTTGCTTTTCCCAGCCCTAGGAGGCTTTAAGGAGTTGACACCTTATGCGTGATATAAGCCAGGCCTAAGCAATGGGGTCAGCAGGAGATGCTGAATAGGAACAGAGAAGGAGAGGCTGGATAGAATGCACATTGGGAAAGTGAGGAGCCAAGAACTTGTCCAAGGGATTTGACAAGAACTTGACCTGTGTGGGTGAGTCTGACATGAACTGAGGCACCAAACTTCCCAACCTCACTTTCTGTTCCTATCCTCCCTTTGTGTGTGCCCCATTGTCCCACTGAACTTCACTTGCAAAACATAAATTCAAAGATAAAATTACTAAGCATTTCAAGACAAAGACTGCTAGGCGTTAAACACGAAGTATAGGGTCCTGTGTTACTGTGTGGATGGCACATCCAAGAAGTAGGCCCTATTTACATACTACCCCAGGCTTATCTTAATGCTTGTGCATTT